TTGTCACAAACTTCGGAATTTCTGAAGTCAGATTTTAATGGTATTTAAACATTTAATGATATTTTTTTACACGTTTGCATGCATGCCACAACCAAGGGTCTGTGCATATTTGAATTTGGCTAATGTATGATATTGCAGGTTTCTAAGCTCTCATTATAAATAATAACTTAATTACTTTTTGAAGTCACATTACATCAGGCTTTGGTATTTAAATATTTTAACCACTGGATCAAGCTAATTGGTTTTTTTAAAAAAAAAAAATCCTTGATTTATTATCTAGATTGAATGTGAACAGAATTGAGATAAAATTATGAAACTTTGGACATAATGGAGACAGTGAAGGTGTCCCACTATCCTGTAGAATCAGTAGGGCAAAACTTTTCCCTTTTCCTTCTCCACCCAACATAAGCTTAGAAAGGGCATTCTGTATTTATAAGAAATCTATCTTTGTTGCAATTTAAATATTGTGAATGACCTGTGGTGAACATTCTGCATATTTCACTAAGATTAAGTTTTCAGCACTAAGCTTACCACTGCTACTGTTTCATTTCAGGCCAAGGGTTTGATCATTTAACAGTAATTATTCTGCCAACATAAATTAGAGGATTTTCACATTGCCTAACTCTCCAAAATAACCAATATAAGTATTTACCTACAAATTGTTGTTCTTGTGTCCAAGAGCATATATTTAAAAATTCAAAACTGCTGCTTCTAAAATCTCTTTGTAGTATTTTTATTTTGATTATCATAGCAATTTTTCTCCAATCTTCCTTTTAAAAAAAATAATTTCAAAGATTCCTCATTTTAGAGTGACACTGCTGCTGCTGCTGTTTTTGTTATTATTGTTGTTGAAAATATTAGTTATAAACCATGAGTAGTAGGAAGTTGTATAAAAGGTTCAACATTACATGAAAGTCCATGAATTGATAGTTACATATTGATCAATTGACATGAAGAGCTAGTGTGTCACAAATAGCTAATAAGCAACAATTTTTTGATATATTCCTGGTTGGTTCGAATCATTTCATCACAACATAAAGAGGAGGAGATATCAACTATAAATCTTACTGTAAGAAGCTAATTATAGTCATACCAACTACCCTGATACATTAGATAACAATAACTTCAATTAAAAATCTAATTATGATATGCTGACAATCTGTCATGAGTACCCTGGCAAAAAACCATATTCAAATACGTTCCATAATTTAACATAGTTTTTAAAAAAATTCATTTCAGCATTTTTCAATTTGTCCTGGACTCATTACTAGTACTTTAAATGAATAGTTATTTTGACATTTAACAGCCAGAAAGCTCCCCAGATGCTAAATATATGCTTGTTGCCAAAAACATACTCTCAGTAAAATACTAGGGCTTGCATCTTTTTCTATAAATACTTATATAATTGTTACTGGGAGATATGGAAGCATAGTTAACATGCAGATGTTTATCTATTTGAGCTTTAAAGATCACAGAAACATTACATATATGCATCCAGCAACAAGCCCTACTAAAATCACGGCAGCACAGTTTTAGTAGACAAGATGATTCATCTACTGTACATGAGATAAATCATGTAGATTTGTTCTATGAAGTCTGTTTCCGTACTATAAAATTTGTTCTATGAAAAATCTGTAAAAAGCACTTTTTTAATATAAGTGCAGATATTCCTAGCCAGCTTTCTGCTTTTTATAAGTGCTATAAAATAATAATAAAAACGTTCTGGCTCCAGAAGCTTCTGAGATAGACCACTGAGCTACCATACTTCTTTCAAATATATTCAGTGATAACAACTTATAACAAATGTTGATTGCCAATGATGTCTCTTCATTGCTCTTCATAAAAAAAATAATCATGTTCCATCCATAACTTTAGATCCACAAAAAGAAATAGTCTAGTTTCACGTGTAAAATAAGTTTGTTAAATCTGGAGAAGATACATGGTTAAACAGAAGACAAACAAGATGCACTGATGATTTAGGTTTTTAGCTAGTCCTGGAAAAATGAGGTGTGTAAAAGATATGCTTTGTTGAATATCACCAGGACAACTTGTCAAGTTAACATATTTTAATTTAAATATGGTTGACTTCCACTTACTAGAAATAGGATATAATGGATGAAATGCAACTCTTATGCAGCTGGTGGACTAAAAATGCTCTAGTAAGCATAAACATGATGATTTTAATTCATCTGTGAATGTAATTTCTAGATGTGGCAGTCAAGTGATTAAAACATGTAGGTCTGGCTTTTAAGTTTAGGATTTTTTTTTTAATTTGTGCACTTTGGTATTGGAAAACTAACCTAGGTAATCATTTGTTTCTTACACTGGTAATCAGTTGTAAGCATCACCCAAAAAAAGAGAAACGTATACATGAAACTAAAGAAACAACAAAAGCACCAACCTTTAGGAGTAGTTAGAAATTTGAACATTAAGATTTAGTAGATGCTACTGCAACAAAGCATTCCATTTCAAGATTCTTTATGTGTCTTAAGAATTCTTGTTTATGAATGATTTTAATAGCTTTTACAGTGTTTCATGGAAAAATTGTGCATTCTGATAAAAGGGTTTTCTGGAATTTATTCATAGACGTGCAATTCCCTTTCACTAAAATGTCAGGCTAAATGCCAGACTGATAGACAGTTTCCAGTGAACTTTCACCAAAACTTGTTTATTTCATTTCCCCAAAGGCAAAGAAAGGCTGACTCTGAGTAATGGCCATGGCTTTCATTGTTAAGTCAGAGTAAACTCATTTTATCCACATGATGGTAGAAAGAGAATCTCCAGTGCAAATACTGCTTTAGAAGAGAGTCTTCTCTTTGGAAATTAATGGAAATTAAATATTTGTACAGTAAGGTGAGTATCTGTGTTTCAGTTCGCCTTGAAAGAAGGGAAGAACAGAGTAGAAGAAATAAAATACTTTTTGCAATCTTATTCTCTTCTCTATTTAAAGCAAAATAGACTGTTATCCACTCTTTCTTCAACTTATTAAAAGCAGTGGAATGAAATGATTACACAGATCTAATCTACTACCATGGATTGTATTTATCCTGTCAAAAGCTTTATTTGGATAAAATAACTATTTGTTTGACTGTAGACAGTTTCTCTAGATGGAAGGCCATTAGTTGCAGCATACCTCAGTTCTGACAGATTAATGGATCTACATAGTGCAACTCTAAAGTTCATGAATCCATCAAGGAAAATAAATATCCAAAGTTGAACTGTGAATTTGAAAAATAAAATAAAACCTTATTCATTTTCATTTACTCTTCAGTACCAAAAGAAGTATTCACAATATGTTTAACAATCAGACTCATTTCCACTTTTTGCAATTTATGTTCAGCGTAGTAAATAAATATGGAGAATCAAGTGACTAAACTTAAGAGGTTTTATTGCCAAGTTGTGTAATGCTTTTCAGAACTGGAACAACATTTATCTTTTGAATGACTTGAGAATCCTACATATGTCAGTAGAGTCAGCACAAAAAAGCAGCAGAAATGGCTTCCAATATTGTTAACACAATAAATTCTATGCATTTCATACTTTCACCTTTGTCACAGTAATAATTCAATTCAGCTAAAATTCTTGAAGGAGCTCTGCTTGGTTTTGAGGTCGCACCTTGTATAACTTGGCTCTTCTATTTTCTTGATGACAGTTTCATTGGCAATTGATGTACCACACTGCATTTGAGAAACCATTATGCTGAAGTTGCAATTATTGATGTTGATAAATGGGAATATTCATTCAGCTTCCAGGTCATAATATTTCTCTTAATTTGAATGTACTGAACTATTATTTGCTGTTCTTGGCTTGTCACATATTTATTTCTAAATCATGTTTTTTTTTTCTTTTTATGACTTTTTAATTCCTTTGTTTTGGGGTGGAGTCAGGATGAAACTAACTATTTACTAGCTAGATGCCCTTCCTGACACCTATGTGGAGTTCACAGAAGGTATTTTCTCTTTGCATCCTAACAGAGAAACATCTACCACTGCCTGGGATCGAAGTGTCAACCTTCTGAGTGGGGAAAGAGTGCCTTCATTTCTAGGCCATGGCTCTACTCATTATTAATAAAATTTATATAGCATCTATCTCCCCATATATACTAAAATGCAGAATCTATACTTTTTAAATCATGATTTTCCTTTTCACTTAGATTTGAATGGCTTTGTACTGTTGATCAAATTTTGATCTTAAAAGAAATATCACAAAAGTACTGGCTCCAAGTATTATTTTAAAAACAATAACAAAACTAGATGCAGTAGCAATAAAAGTATACTATCTGGAGTAGAATAAAAAGTATTTTATCCTACTCCAAAAATAACACTTATCAAAAATAGACAATAAACCAGAAGACTTATGACTGATGAGTGGAATAATAATAATTTTAAAAGAAGAGATAATAAGTCTGTGTCAATTGGTCTAGGGATTAATACGCTGTCCTAGAAACCAGGAGACTGTGAGTACTAGTCCTGTCTTAGGCATGACATTTGTTGGATATGAGATAGGTGGCAAATAAATTTCATAATAAATTAAAAAAAGGAAAGCCAACCAGGTGACCTTGGGCCAATCTCTCTCTTTCTCTCTCCCTCTTCCTCCCTTTCTCTCTCTCTCTCTCTCTCTCTCTCTCTCTCTCTCTCTCTCTCTGAGTTGTTCTTGTGCGGAAAATAGGGGAGGGAGTTTTATGTATGTTTATCACGTTGAGTTGCTTCTAAAGTAGTAAAGGCAGAATAAAAACAAACAAACCTGATAAATAATTTAATTTATCTTTCAGGAAGGAACACTTTAAACAAGAGATTACAGTAAATATTTGTATGTACAAAAAGTATACCTATGATATTATAGCAAAATCAGTAAAGTATACATGCTACCACAAATAAAAGTTTAATGAAAGTTTAATGAAATGAGTCAGATTCTCACACAGAGCAAAATAATGAAAGAACTTTAATTTGATTACAGTATTTAAAAAAGCTTTCTAGCAAAATAAAGAAGGAAATACTTACATGCAATACGGACATAGGCCTTCCTACTCTTGGTTGTGCCTGCAGAACTCCAAGCTACACACTGGCACCAGTAATCTTCGGGTCCAAAGAGTTCTTCAACTTGTTGCCGTGAAATCTCAATGCTCACCTCTCGAACAATGAGTCCTACCAAAACATAATCAATATGTCTATATTGATTTCAGAATTTGGCATTTTTAGCAGTATGTAAGTAACTCATTGGTATGGAAAAGGGAGCAGTTGCAGGACAAGGAACTATTTTTAAGACACCTTTGAAATACGTATACTTTTTAAAATATAAGTAAGTAAGGCTTGCTTATTTTGGGGATAGGGCTTATATTTGGCGCATACACAGAAAACATGCTAGGGCTTATTTTTTTGGATAGTCTTATTTTCAGGGAAACACCTTACCTTACTGAGGAAGTGACAAAGGTAAGAAGAAAGGAAAATATGCATTTTTATAAAATATGTATTTTACATAGTTAGGCACAAAATTACAAAGCAAAGTTAAAATAAGTAGTAGATTATTGCCAGTGACATAAAATTAATCAAGTTTTGCTCATTTACATTGGTTGGGCATCAAACTGCTTTTAAACTGGATCATGTTTTCTCATTCTTAATTTTTTTTTTCACATAGTGTAAAGCCACGCTACTGATTGCAAAGATCATAGATATCTAATATACAGTAATATACCCCAAGCTTGTACGTTAATTATAACTTCTAGAACCTACACAAGATTTACAACATGCCCGAGTAACCTTCATTTATTGATCCATACTGTGATTTTAAATTATAGTATGATACTGAGTGACAAAGAAAAAAACACAGAGCTTCCATTGTTGATAAAATATTTATTCATACATTTCACATCCAAGGGTTTGCTATGGACAGTTTCTATTGTTTCAGTTATTAGATTTGAGTCTATTTTTCATTTGTTATTATATTTTATGTATTGGGTCTACAATAAGGCCTATATTTGCTTTAAAATGCCTGTGCCAATTTGAATTTCCTTTTTCTATTCTTGTGCTTTCTCTTATTAGAAGAAAAGAAATGTTGTAATTGCTATTGCTTAGTTTATATTTTTGTGATCTTGAATTGCCTTCAACACAAATGTACTAACATGCTGTCTTCTCTGTAAGTAGCTTAGAGCCAGGATAATGTCAACAAAGCTAATGCAATAGGGAAGAGAGGGCATGGACACAGCTTCTTGTCTGCCAATCATAAACACCCCTGCTAAGGTTGGAGAGTTTCCTGAATGAAGCCAAGCTGTGAATGTCCTGTCTGAAGCCTAAATGAAGGTCCAAGTGTAAGTCTATACTCTAAACCAATGTGATGAGAGTCTTCAAAAGCAAGTCAACCTTTGAAGGAATGGAAGGACTTCATTTTTATTTGCTTGGTGGAAGGCATCTTATCATATGTTTCCTGACATGTGGTCCTTCCTTTCAGCTTAATGTATAGCTTTCCTTTTTTAGCAACAGCCTTTTTAATCTATTTCATCTTTCCATATAAGGTATACTTCATGAACACAAAGCAGATTAGATATACAACTCTTGTATCTGCATCTAGATATATTCTTATTCTAGAAATTATTTTCACTTTTATTGCTTATACAGTAAGTTCTTCAAATCATAGTTTTATATATATATGTGAAATATTGATTAGCCTACCGATAAAATTCCAAACAAACAATTTAAAATGAGAGTAGGGCAAAATACAATGTTATAGGATAAAATACATTAATTTAATACATAAATGTGTAAAATAGAATAAAATGACATAAAATTGTATTTCTACATCACCCCTGAAATCTACCCCAATCAGGCCCACATATGCCGATCTTAAGTCGGACCATTTTAGTCAGAAATTGTGCTGTATTAAATGCCATTTTCAGATTCTGGCCACACATGAGATAAGTTGTTTTAATATGGGCTTCCCACTGGACCATATGTTTAATATGTGGACCAAGGTACTTATCTCTCACCTCTTTATACAAACAGAAATTGAATAATATATGGGTCAGATCTTCTATCTCGTCAGTTTCACAGATACATGTTACGTTCATTGTATGGGATAGAATGGAATCTCCCAAATCTAACCATTGTATCAAACTGTTCAAATCCTGCTTGGGTAAACATCTCCCTGAGATGTTTTGGCAATTGTGATTTTAAACAGTTGTCCATTTGGAAGGTGCATTAATATTTGCTCACAGTAAGTTCTTCAAATTGCAAAGCTTTTTTTGCAAAGTTCCTAAAATAAAGTTAAGTAAATATACATTTAAACATATTCTTTGCTCACTCTTGTATTATATAAAGCAAGCAAGATATTTATGAAGGAAATACTTCTGCTTGCTGTATATTATGTTGCATGCATGACTGAGTGTGCCAGACGAGTAATTCATAGTCCCTAGATAGATGATACAAGCCAGAAATACTTGGACATATGCTCTGGATCCTACGAATCAAATGTTTTAGGTCACAATTTAACCTTAAGCTATTTTAGTCTGTGTTAGCAATTTTTTTCCCCCTTTTGTACAAGGGTTTCTTATTTGGAGTTCAGGAGTCAAGTTTTTTTGCCCCTAGCTCCAAAGACAAAGAGGCCTGAGGTCTGTCTTTACAGTGGAAAATTGTGTCCTGCAAAAGCACTGATTACAGAAAGCACACAGTGTGAAGTAGACTATTGTAGAATTGTTAAAAGCATCAAAACCCACATAAATGTGTTGGCAGTAAATGGAAAATGTCTCCAGTTCATAGGTTACAGTGGCCAAAGAAGTGAAAATAAAAATTATTACAGTTGACAAAAGAGAGAAAAAAAAGCAGGAATGCAACCTGAAACCTACCACTACCAGTAAGATTACCTATTATATATATTAAAAAGATATATATATATATATATAAATGATATGTCTAGCTAGCTTTCTTCCTAACAACTAAGTCCAAAAATCTAAATGAAATGTCAAAAAAATAGGGCAATAAAGCAATTAATATAGCAAACTTCCCACCAAATCTTTACCAGAATCTGAAATCTTATGACATTTTCTTAAGACAGCCTTGTAAAATACTGCTGTCCATTGGCATCTGTTTTATGTAAGTTGCATTGTAGAAGTTTTAGGAGTAAGGTTAGAAATGCATTTTAAAGAGTTATTCACATTCAAAAATATTTATTTATCAAATTTTTAAAAGAACTATTGAGGTGGTGGATTGGCAAGAAGATTTATTGCTAGATTCTAATTTCTGAATTATTTTTGAAAGTAGGAAGAATTTTCTGGCACTAGATTTTTGTTCCCCAGGAAAATACTAAATGACATTTTGGTTAAAGTAGATGTAACAATAGATGTTAAAGTTCACAATAAGGGTACATTTACTGTATCTTTTTGTTAGACTCCTCTACATCAAAAATGTAGACATATTATGCATCATCTAAGATATACATAATTACAAATAAGTTGCCATTTGAACAAAAGACCAGACCCAGATATTAATTTTAAAAAAGACGCTTATTCTATTGGGTAGTAGTTAATTCACTTATTTTTTTCAAGAGTGTTAACCTAAAATAGCCTTAATTTTATTGAGTTTTTCAGGGAAATATTTGTCTGGTAATATGTTGGTTATTTTGGTTTGGTGATACACCAGATCATGAGGTTTCCTTTCTTTGCAGAACAATTGTATTGTGAGGATTGCTGGCAGTACATAACACCATTGACATTATTAGTCAGACCCAGTTATGTGTAAATCACAGACACCTTACTTTATAAAGCTTAACTTAATTGTGAGATTTGAACTTAGCAGAAAATTCTTCTCAGGCACTTGATACAATAGACTAGGTAACCATTTCTTTATTTAAAATTAGGCATTACTCAACTTCAAACTGACTCTGAGAAATTCACAATATAATAAGCAATAATTTATGTAAAACAAAACAAGAAGGATCCAGTTTTTTTTTTTTTTTTAGTGACCCTGTAATCCAGGATGGGCTGCTACAGGTTCACACTGGTTTGGGTGAACCAGGTGCTCATTTTATATCTGGGTCATTGAACTAGTAGTTGCAACGACTGGCTGGCCCCGCCCACGCCACCCTACCACTCCCAGGATTCTCTGTGCAGCCGATTTTGGATCCCAGCTAAGTGCGTGGAGGCTCGGGGAGGGTGAAAAATGGGCATCCTGAAGGCTCTGGAAGGCCAGAAAGGCCTGTGAAGTCCAGAGAGGCCATTTTCACCCTCCTGGAGGAAAGCCTCCAAAGCCCAGGGAGAGCGAAAAACAGGCCTCCCGGAAGTTTCAGAAGGCTGGAAACAAACCCATTTCCAGTCTCCAGAAGGCCTCCAAAGGCTGGGGTGGCCATTCTCGCCCTCTTGGAGGCTCAAGGAAAGCCTCCAGAGCCCGGAGTAAGCAAAAATGCCCACCCAGCAACCGGGCAGGGAACTGGTTCCTAAATTTTTTGAAGCCACCCCTGCTATAATCCCTTTTTATTAGGGTGGAGTTGGGGTAACTGAATGGAGCATTTATTAGCAGGTTGCATTTTCTAATACCTATGTAGAGTTCATAGTTCATGCACGCTGATAGAGAAACATCTGTCACTGCCTGGGATTGAACTTTCAACCTTTTGAATGGGAGGTGAATGTCGTCATCTCTAGGCCACCAATTTGAAGGACATACGCAATTAATTGTTATTGTTATACAATTTCACAGTACACCAATATTGTAAGTCAGTATGAACTCTGTTAAAAATAGTAATAATCATTGTATCACTGAAACAAACAGAGAGACCAAAACATCTTTCTTCAACTTGCGGAATCATCAGATAGTGCCTGGGCTCATACAATGTGATACAACACAGTGTGCATTGTTTGGTCCGAGGACTTATTGTGTTCCTGAAGCCAGCCATTATGTTTTTTAAAGAACTTTTTATGACTTACCACACTGGAGCAATAAAGTTCATTATAGTTTATTCAATTGATTTAATACAAATTGTGTGAACACAGCTTGTAACATCTTGTTCGGTTGCTGCCTTTGTTTTGCATTTCATTTCCTTTTTCTTAAAACAAACAAATAAATCAACAAAATTTATTATTCTTGGCATTTTATCCTTCAAGCTGTGAACTATTTTGCATAAATAATACTTCTTAATAGCATTTTGTGAAATTAAAGCACTC